CAAGGGACACGGGTTCAACCCCTGGTCCGGAAAGATCCCACCTGCCGCAGAGCAACCAAGCCTGTTCGCCACAACTACTGAGCGCCTGCCCTAGAGCTGGTGAGCCACAGCTACTGAAGCCTGTGTGCCTAGAGCCCGCGCTCTGCATTAAGCAACGCCACCACAGTGAGAAGCCTGGGCATCCAACTTGCCACATCTAGAGAAAAGTCCACGCAAAGCAATGAAGACCCTGCACAGCCAAAAGTAAATAGATAAATCTTTATAAAAAAAAAGAGAGAGAGAGAAGAAGAGGCAAGAAAGGACAGAGAAGACGCCTGGGAGACAGAATGGCTGGTCTGGATCCTTCGTTTGTTGCAGCGCATCCAGCGGATGCCTCAGCGTTCTCTCCCCGGGCATGGGCGTGGTGAGATGGAGGAGGTGAGGCTCCAGCAATCCACTGGAGGGAAAACAAAACAACGGAGACCAGAAGCAGCGAGTGACCCAGGGGCCCCCAGCCTCGTCCACCTTCCTCGCAGACCTGCGTGGTGACACAGCCCAGAGCAAGGCAGCCCTCAGTGACTGTCGCCATTGTCAGCTGGAGACGCTAAAAGTGCACGGATTCCTGCACTTCAGTTGAACAGGGAATTCGCGGAGGCCACACACCTACAGATATCCCAAGGGGAGGTGCACCCGGGCCAGCGTGGATGGAGATGGGGTGGATGCAGGGCGGACGGACACGTGCGTGGGGTCTTTCCAATTACCTGTCCCAGCTAAAATCTGAAATGAGACAGGAAACACTTTCGACATCAGAAGAGCTCAATTTTAACTCTCTGAGAGTGGAAGCTCTTGGGGTTTGCAGGATTAATGATAATCACTGGCTCTCTTTCTGCCTCTGCCCACACAGAAGGTCGGAGGTGGCAAGACCACATCAGTGTTCCTCTGAACCCCTGGGAGGACCCCGCCTGGGCCCCCAGTCCGAGCTCTGAGCATTCACCCCAAGTCCCAGCACCAGACTAGGAATGTACACAGTTCTTCTCCACTCCAGAAGCAGCACTTTCAATCCTCTCCGAAGAGAAAATAGCATCCAATTTAGAAATGTATCGATGCTTTAAAAAGACAGAGAGAAAAACAGTTCCCTTCCCACTTGCAAAAACTTTTTCTGTGTTTGCCTCCTGAGTTGGGGAAATGGGCAGAGTGGAGACAGAGAAAGATTTCTGTTAGAAAGGCAGAGCCTCTGGTGGAAACAGGAAATAGATTTGGAAATGTGGGTGCAAGAGTAAAGGCGGAAAAAGCCCCTTTGCTGAACTCTGAGAATTTTAGAGTAAAACTAGGGAATGAGAGCAGTTGCCATGCTATGTGGGAAGAAAATTCATAAGGATAATACGAGGAAAGGGGATGTAAAGACATTTTGCTGAGTCACATAAACAGAATTGTCCTTCAACACGCCTCTGCTTCCCTGGTGGCTCAGATGATAAAGAATCTGCCTGCAATGCAGGAGGCCTGGGTTTGACCCCTGGGTCAGAAAGATCCCCTGGAGAAGGAAATGGCTACCCACTCCAGTGTTCTTGCCTGGAGAAGTCCATGGACAGAGGAGCCTGGCGGGTTACAGTCCGTGGGTTTGCAAAGAGTCGGACATGACTGAGCAACTTTCACTCACTCACTCCTCTGCAAGATTTCAGGAGAGAAGAGGCATTTTCCATTCTTTTTTTTTTCCTTTTAAGATGTTGTACTGCTGTTTCTTTTATGACCTCTCTGAGAAGGACTTTAAAAAAAAATCCCAGATTTAATCCTATTAAAAAGAACACCCCACCCTCTGTCTGCCTTTGCTGAACACCCTCCCACCCCACCTTCTTCAGATGACATCTGGATCAGTCTTTGGATGGTTCCAGGGCAAAGGGTTATAGTCAAATTCTTTACTATTCTTTACTAGAACTTAACAAGTTCTTTACTAGTTCTTAGTTATAGATCAGGGAAGTTTCGTTGCTTCTAGATTCCAGGAAAATTGCTTTGATAAAAAAGCAAGTCCGTGGGAGTACAACTTCTGGAACTTTCCCTTGTCCCACATGACCTCCTCGATGCTCAGGCTAATTTATGATGATCCCGGAAATTTCCATGGCCTAATTAAAAAAAGCATATCACCACATAAATAGTTTTTAAGAACACCAAGTTGTCCCAAGGGCAATTTGCCTTGTTCTTTTCCAATTTCTGTGTTTGGAAACCTTTTTGGTTTGTGATTGAGTTGTCAGATTCTGAATGCATCTGAGGTCAATCCTTGATTCTTTGTGCTAGTGAATAATCGTGAGAGTTGCTCTGTATACTTCTTATTGATTTTTTGGAAGTAAAATTACTTGCAGTGAAATGCACAAATCTGAAGTGTACAATTTTGATGAATTTTGGCCATTAACCAAAAATTTCAGAGATGGAGATCTGATTGAAATAAAAAGGTGTTTATTTGGGGTTTGTTAGGGATACCCCAGAGAAGCCCTTTACCAAGGGAGACAGGGCAAGGGTGGTGAGAATTGGGAGATTGGGACTGACACTATTTATACTCTGTATGAAATAGATAACTAATGAGAACCTACTGTATAACAGGGAGCTCTACTGTATGCTCTGTGGTGACCTAACTGGGAAGGAAGTCCAAAAAAGAGGGCATCTATGTACATCTCTGCCTGATTCATCATGCTGTACAATAGAAACTAACACAATATTGTAGTGCAACTAGACTCCAATAAAAACTACGCAAAGAAGCCCTTGAATTGTCTCCCCACTCCACCCTCAACAATGAAATAAGGGAGGCTTATAAAGGGAAAACCAAGGTTACAGTTAGTGACAGCAGGACTTGTTTACCAAGAATTATAGTTGGAGCTGGCAAGCCTAAGGGTGCTTGCTGAATACCAATTTGTTGACATCTGAAAAGGCTGCACAGTTTCAAGGGGGGACCTTGAGACCCTCAGTTTGCAGCTGCTGGCAGGTATTGTTTTTTTTTTTCATTGATTTTTATTAATTGGAGGCTAATTACTTTACAATATTGTAGTGGTTTTTGTCATACATTGACATGAATTAGCCATGGATTTACATGTATTCTGAAAACGGTTGGTGGTGTCCTTAAGTTTGGTGCAATTCAGAGAAAATTCAAGTTCTTGGTGGTGCAGGGAAGTGTCTGAGAGCAGGTCTTCCATGGCCCCTGACTCCACTTTTGTGTGCCTGAACTGTGATGAGTCCATTATCATTTCAATTTGTCATCAGGATGAAGGTGTACACCCAAGGACCCATCATTTTCATTACTCACTGATTCCCTGCAGCCAGCCCTGCCCACCACACACAAACCCTGGCTTAATTTCTTTCTGTATACTAGTTTTGTCTTTTCTTGAACTTTATAGAAGTGGAATCAATATGCGTGTGTGTTGTTTTATCTTCTTTGTTCAACACCCGAGTCTCTTAATAAGGCAAGAAATGCAGTGTGGTGGAAAGGGATTATTATGATTATTACAGTGACCAGAATTTAATTAAGTGACAGGGTTCCCAGGTGGCGCTAATGGTAAAGAACCCACCTGCCAAAGCAGGAGGCATTAAGAGACTTGGGTGTGATCCGTGGGTCAGGAAAATCCCCTGGAGGAGGGCATGGCAACCCACTCCAGTATTCTTGCCTGGGGAATCCCATGGACAGAGCAGCCTGGCGGGCTACGGTCCACAGGCTCGCAAAGAGTCAGAGATGACTGAGGTGACTCAGCATGTGCGCGTGCATGTTATGTCACAGGTTCCTCTGCAACTGCTGGCCCACTCGGCCATTCAAATTGCTGTTGTTTAGTCCCTTCTGGGTTAGGGGTGGGGCAAGCTGACATTCTCCGCATCCTCTTGGGGATGCTGGGAGGGTCCTGAATCCTGGATGGGGATGCGGTGGTCTCCAGGGCAACAAGTGGCTGGGCAGAGCGCGAGGGCTCAGAGACGCTCCACTCCATGCTGAGTGATTGACACACAACCGGCAGCTGGTCCTCTGCCGGCCGCGGGTACGGCCACCTGCCCAGAACTGATGCCCCTCTGCTGGGTGGTGAGGCCAGCTGCAGGCAGCCTGGCCGCCTCACTCTCTCCCACTTCCGGTGCCGTCCTGTTCACTTCCTCCACATGGCCTATGACTTTTTCCTGAAAAATCTCATCTCTTGAAGCAGGGCAACGTGTCTAGAGACACACAGTGGAATCCCTGTTCTGATGAGACCAGCACATTTCCCTCCCCGTAATCGTTGGGTGTTCGGCCACTTCTTCAAGTGTCTTTAGTGGGGAACCAGTGATGCTTTTTTGGGCCACGGGAAGGTCAGGTTTTGTGGTGTGAGAAGAAATTTGGAAAACTCAGAGGTGGGTAGATGGGTGAGAAACACATTTCCTACTCATCACACACTGAGTAAACACTTTACAAATATTTCTCCCCCAAGAAAGGATTTCTCAACAGACACATTTCATCCCTCAGTTAAATCTATGTGGCTTCCCCCACTCCCCGCCTTTCCTCCTGTTAGTGAAGTGAAATTTGCTCAGTTTTATCCGACTCTTTGTGACCCACTGCACATGGAATTCTCCAGGTCATGGAATTCTCCAGGCCAGAATACTGGAGTGGGTAGCCTTTCCCTTCTCCAGGGGATCTTCCCAACCCCAGGATCGAACCCAGGTTTCCCGCATTACAGGAGGATTCTTTACCAGCCACCAGGGAAGCCTTTCCTCATGTTCCTTGTGAAGAAACTATGCTTGCTCGGTGGGAGTCATCAGAATAAAACCCCAGTTGTTTGTACTCATTTAGTTTGAAAGACACTGTAGCTTGGAGAAGAATTTGGCTGAAGTTAAATTTTGAACCATCTCTGATCTGAAGGTTTCTGAAGAACCTTCAACAGCCTGAGTGTCTTTCCATGAAAAAGTGGGGTACATGCCAATCCCTTAAATCAAGGGAAGAAATGTGGGATTAGATCATTCTGATGGTTGTCTGTGCCTGTGTTTGGAAGCTCCTGGATGACTAAGGTGCCTTTTTGTCTTGGCAGAGGTTTGTCACGATGACCCTCCGAGTCTCAGAAACGCCATGTTCAAGGTCCTCAGGTACAAGGTGGGCACCATGATAAACTGCGACTGCAAGACAGGCTTCCGCAGAGTGTCGGTCGTCATGCGCTGCGCGGGGAACTCCAGCCACTCTGCCTGGGAAAACAGATGCCTCTGCAACAGCATCTGTAAGAGTTTCCACTGGTAACCCCGAGGGAAGGAGAAAACTATAGCAAAGAGGGAGGCAGGGCTCCCCCCAACTTTCCTTGGGGGCTGGGGGGCGGGGTAGAATTCCTTTACAATGTTGTTAGTTTCTGCTGGATAAGGAGGTGAATCAGCTACAAGTGTACATATTTCCCCTCCCTCCTGAGCCTCCCTCCCACCCCTCTAGGTCACCACACAGCACCGAGGCGCGCTCCCTGTGCAGTACAGCAGCTCCCTACTAGCTGTTTCACACACAGTAGTGTATATGTGTCAATGTTGCTCTCTCAGTTTGTCCCATCCTCCCCTTCCCCTGCTGGTCCACATGTCCATTCTCTGCATCTGCATCTCTATTCCTGCCCCGCACCTAGGTTCATCTGTACTGCTTTTCCACGATTCAGAAAGTCACATGCACCTCAGTGTTCATTGCAGCACTATTTACAATAGCCAGGACATGGAAGCAACCTAAATGTCCATTGAGAGAGGAATGAATAAAGAAGATGTGCTACATATATACAATGGAATATTACTCGGCCATAAAAAGGGATGAAATTGGGTCATTTGTAGAGATTTGGGTGGACGAGTCTGCCACACCAAGCCCTCAAGGAAACCACACTTTAAGAGGGTGTGGGGGGGCAGACATTACACTAATAATTACTAAACAACTGAAAATAATCGTAGTTCATAATGATGTGAACATAGACTGGGCAATGGAGCTGTTCTCCACAGCAGCTGCACCACTGCCATTCTTCAGTTCAGTCCAGTCGCTCAGTCGTGTCCAACTCTTTGCAACCCCATGGTTTGCAGCACGCCAGGCTTCCCTGTCCTTTCCCAACTCCCAGAGCCTACTCAAATTCACATCCATCAAGCTAGTGATGCCAGCCAACCACCTCATCCTCTGTTGTCCCCTTCTCTTCCTGCCCTCAATCTCTCCCAGCATCAGGGTCTCTTCAAATGAGTCAGCTCTTTACATCAGGTGGCCAAAGTATTGGAGTTTCAACTTTAGCAGCAATCTTTCCAATGAATATTCAGGACTGATTTCCTTTAAGATTGACTGGTTTGATCTCCTTGCAGTCCGAGGGACTCTCAAGAGTCTTCTCCAACACCACAGTTCAAAAGCATTAGTTCTTTGGCGCTCAGTTTTCTTTATGGTCCAACTCTCACATCCATACATGGCCACTGGAAAAACCATAGCTTTGACTAGATGGACCTTTGTTGGCAAAGTAATGTCTCTGCTTTTTAATATGCTGTCTAGGTTGGTCATAGCTTTTCTTCCAAGGAGTATTTTCATTTCATGGCTGCAGTCACCATCTGCAGTGATTTTGGAGCCCCCCAAAATAAAGTCTGCCACTGTTTCCATTGTTTCCCCATCTATTTGCCATGAAGTGATGGGAACAGATGCCATGATCTTAATTTTCTGAATGTTGAGTTTTAAGCCAATTTTTTCACTCTCTTCTTTCATTTTCATCATGAGGCTCTTTAGTTCTTCTTCACTTTCTGCCATAAGAATGGTGTCATCTGCATATCTGAGGTTATTGATATTTCTCCCAGCAATCTTGATTCCAGCTTGTGCTTCATCCAGCCCAGCATTTCTCATGATGTACTCTGCATATAAGTTAAATAAGCAGTGTGACAATATACAGTCTTGACATATTCCTTTCCCAATTTGGAACCAGTCCATTGTTCCATGTCTAGTTCTAACTGTTGCTTCTTGACCTGCATACAGATTTCTCAGGAGGCAGGTCAGGTGGTCTGGTATTCCCATCTCTTTAAGAATTGTCCAGTTTGTTGTGATCCACACAGTCAAAGGTTTTAGTGTAGTCAATAAAGCAGAAGTAGATGTTTGTCTGGAATTCTCTTGCTTTTTTTATGATCCAACAATCATAGGATGCTGGCAATTTGATCTCTGGTTCCTCTGCCTTTTCTAAATACAGCTTGAACATCTGGAAGTTCTTGGTTCATGTACTGTTGAAGCCTAGCTTGGAGAATTTTCAGCATTAATTTGCTAATGTGTGAAATGAGCACAGTTGTGTGGTAGTTTGAACACTCTTTGGCATTGCTTTTCTTTGGGATTGAAATGAAAATTGACCTTTTTGAGTCCTGTGGCCACTGCTGAGTTTTCCAAGTTTGCTAGCATATTGAGTGCAGCACTTTAGCAGCAACATCTTTCAGGATTTGAAGTAGTTCAGCTGGAATTCTATCACCTCCACTGGCTTTGTTCATAGTGATGCTTCCTAAGGCCCACTTGACTTCACATTCCAGGATCTCTGTTCTAGTTGAGTGATCACATCATCGTGGTTGTCTGGGTCATGAAGATCTTTTTTGTATAGTTCTTCTGTGTATTCTTGCCACCTCTTCTTAATATCTTCTGCTTCTGTTAGGACCATACCATTTCTTTCCTTTATTGTGCTTATCTTTGCATGAAAATTTCCCTTGGTTTCTCTAATTTTCTTGGAAAGATCTCAAAACATGTCCATTCTATGGTTTTCCTCTATTTTTTTGCATTAATCACTTAGGCAGGCTTTCTTATCTCTCCCTGCTATTCTTTGGAACTCTGCATTCAAATGGGTATATCTTTCCTTTTCTCCCTTCCTTTCACTTCTCTTCTCAGCTATTTGTAAAGCCTCCTCAGACAACCATTTTGCCTTTTTGCATTTCTTCTTCTTGGGGATGGTTTTGATAACTGCCTCCTATACAGTGTCACAAACTTCCATCCATAGTTCTTCAGGCACTCTGCCTATCAGATTTAATCCCTTGAATCTTTTTCTCACTTCACTGTATAATCATAGAAGGTGAAAGTGAAGTCGCTCAGTCATGTCCAACTCTTTGCAACCCCATGGACTGTAGCCTACCACAGTCCTCCATCCATGGGATTTTCCAGGCAAGAGTACTGAAGTGGGTTGCTATTTCCTTCTCCAGAGGATCTTCCCGACCCAGGAATTGAACCTGGGTTTCCCGCATTGTAGGCAGACGCTTTACCATCTGAGCCACCAGGGAAATGGGATTTGATTTAGGTCATACTTGAATGGTCTAGTGGTTTTCCTTGTTTCTTCTATTTAAGTCTCAATTTTGCAATAAGGAGTTCATGATCTGAGCCACAGTCAGCTCCTGGTCTTGTTTTTGCTGACGGAATAGAGCTTCTCCATCTTCACCTGCAAAGAATAGAATCAATCTGATTTTTGTATTGACCATCTAGTGATATCTACATGTACAGTCGTCTCTTGTGTTGTTGGAAGAGGGTGTTTGCTATGACCAGTGTGTTCTCTTGGCAAAACTCTGTTCACCTTTGCCCTGCTTCATTTTGTACTCCAAGGCCAAACTTGCCTGTTACTCCAAGTATCTCTTGACTTCCTACTTTTGCATTCCAGTCCCCTATGATGAAAAGGACATCTTTTTTGGGTGTTAGTTCTAGAAGGTCTTGTAGGTCATCATAGAACTGTTCAATTTCAGCTTATTCAGCATTAGTGGTTAGGGCATAGACTTGGATTACTGTGATATTGAATGGTTTGCCTTGGAAGCAGAGACCATTCTGTCTTTTCTGAGACTGCACACATTGCCATTCTTTAGGATGCCCTCTGACTCTTAGCCAACAAAAGTCCATCTAGTCAAGGCTATGGTTTTTCCAGTAATCATGTATGGATGTGAGAGTTGTACTGTGAAGAAAGCTGAGTGCCGAAGAATTGATGCTTCTGAACTGTGGTGTTGGAGAAGACTCTTGAGAGTCCCTTGGACTGCAAGGAGATCCAACCAGTCCATCCTAAAGGAGATCACTCCTGGGTGTTCATTGGAAGGACTGATGCTGAAGCTGAAACTCCAGTACTTTGGCCACCTCATGAGAAGAGTTGACTCATTGGAAAAGACCCTGATGCAGGGAAGGAATTGGGGGCAGGAGGAGAAGGGGACGACAGAGGATAAGATGGCTGGATGGCATCACTGACTCGATGGACATGAGTTTGGGTGAACTCCGGGTGTTGGTGATGGACAGGGAGACCTGGCGTGCTGCGATTCATGGGGTCGCAAAAAGTCGGACACGACTGAGCGACTGAACTGAACTGACTCTTAAATGACCTGCCTTTGGGAAACAGGAGTGACTGAGATTGCTCCTCTGGCCACCACACTCACCTCCATGCACAGTGTTGACAGGCTGATGGCCAGCACGGGGCCCCTTCTGGGGAGACACACAGGCACAAACCATTCCACCAGAAAAGCTGGGGCCTGCGGAAACACACTGTAGGCTACTATCATCACATACAGGAAGACCGCCTGGTGGGCTGGTGTTCTGCTGCCTGTGAACTGGCCCTCTGACAGCCCCCCAAGGACAGGGTATGTGGGGCTCATTCTTATAACCTCTGCATCCCCCGATATTGCCTGGCACGTTACAGGCCCTAGAAAGATGTTCTTTTTGAGAGTTTTATCTTTTAAACACCTGTGAAGTTATTATCTTCATTCCCTCCATATTCTCTAGCCCCTGCTAAGAACCCAGTAAAACAAGTCACTCCTGGACCCAAAGAACAGAATGAAAGAAAACCCACAGACGTGCAGAGCCAAACGCAGCCCCCGGAGCAAGCTGACCTTCCAGGTAGGAGTGGACCTGCTCTCTCACAGACACATTCAGCGCGCCCCCAAGGAGGAGAGTCCGGCCTGTGGTCCTCTCTCCCGAGGACATCCTGGGAACTGGCGCTGTGGCGCGGTGGTGGCAGGCTGTCTGCTCAGCATCTCGAGCCTCTCTTACAGCAGCCAGCCTGGGCTCTGGGCTTCCTCCAGGCTTGGGAACTGGCCCCGGCGAGCTCAATTCAACTCCACTCAACTCACTTTCTTTCAAACAGCATTTTGGGGGCTAACTGCTCCAAGCACAGTGGCCAGACAATACCAATCTGAGTCGGCAGTGCTCCTTGGCCTCAGAAGATGCTCTATGTTTCCCTTAAGGAAGAGACACTGAACTGTGAGCCAAGTAATCTACTTCCAGACGTTTATTTCTAACAGGACAGGGTTCTGAGGTGGGTGGGGCCACATTGGCTTCTGGAAGCTGCAGACAAAACTTGGGCTAATGGGCTGTGGACGAGCCTGTGCTGTGTCACCCAGCTGCTGCCCCGACTTTCCAAAATTAATAAGGAGGAAGTCAGCCTTGACATCGGGAAGAAAGGAGCCCATTAGGGAAGCCTGAGCTTTAGGGGGCCCAGCTGACATTACAATACCCTGTGCCCCTAGGCTAATTGTACACCTTTACAAAGAACTTTACCACTTTGTATATAATCTCATTCCAACGTCAGAACCCAGTGAGTCAAGGACCAGGAAATATTCCTTCAATTTACTAATGGAATTGAGATGCGGAGACAATTAAAGACATGGCACAACTCACAAAATGGGACTGGAATAAGGGTTTCCTGAATTAGACCAGGGGTCTTGGTATGATTATTTAAGCTACTTTGAATTTATTATCAGCTTTTATTAATTAAAAAAAATAAAAATACAATGACTAATCTGGGGAACCTGCTGCAATATGCTGTTTCCTGTCCTTGTCACTGTGACTTTGTTCTGGAATGAGGTTTCAGAACACGTTCGTTGTTTTCCTCTGCTTCTCCCCTCCCATATTCCACAATTACTGAAAGTTTTCTCAAGAAGTCAGTGTTTCCTCTCCTTACTCAAGAGATAACCAGCTGCCTCTGGCTAAGGGATGCTGCGCAGACTGTCTTAATTTGGAGGTTTTGAAAGAAGCAAATCCAATTCCAACAAGTCTGGACAGTTATGAATTTTACTGACTGGAAAGGCAATTTGATTCTGAGACATAAACACATATTCAAGCATGAACTGCAAGACACTGTCCTGAGCAGACCCCTTGGGATGGGACCACTAGGCCTCCTGCCGCAGAGGGTCATGGAGGGCAGCGCGAGGGGTTATGTTGGATCTTTGGGGTTGTGGAAGGTCAGAGCATAAACACAGCTTCACAGTGCTGGGCTTAGAAGGATCTGTGGTTCCGTGTGTCCAGATTTGCGGGGCAGGGGATTAAATCAGAACAGAACATAATCTGTGGGGTTAAAGGTCAGCCAGACTTGGGTTTTAGTTGGGTGAGGGGAAAGTTACTGGACATGGGAATTTTCAGAGGCCTTAAAAGGGCCAGCTTCAGGTATGGCTTGATCAGGGACCAGGCTCCATTCCTCTAGATCGTCTTGGTGCTTCCCTCCTCCCAGCTTTGGATATGTCCCGAGTACTTCTCCATGGCCCCAAGATGACCACTTTAGATGTGCTTCCTCACTTAGCAGTCGAGATCTAGGTGGCCTCCACATCTCCTCAGCCCAGACAAGCTGGAACCTGCCCTTAACCCTAAGCTGAGACCACTGTTCGAACACCTGTCCACTTAGCAAATCTCTCCCTGTTAGCAGAAGCTCATTTCTCTGCGTTCCCAGAGCGAGCACCTGTGTCTCAAGGGTCATGCTCCCCACGTTCTCCCTGCAGAGGCTCCCCTCCCTGATCCACTGTCTGCTCACTGCAGGGGAGGGGGACTGGGTCTTCGTTCCTTTCACAAAGTGCCTAGCAAAAGCCCTGACAAATAGATGTTACCAATACTTACTGGAAGAAAGTGGGGCGGCGGGGGCTGGAGGGAAGGTGGAGGGGGCCAAAGAAAAGAAACAGGACTGTGGTCTGGTCTCTAGGAAGAGGCAGCCTGGACTCACAGCATCTCCTCTACTTGCCTCTGGAATTCCCTTCCCTCGTCCAGGTCACTGCAAGGAGCCGCCACCATGGGAACATGAACGTGAACCTTTAAAGAGAGTCTATCATTTCATCCTGGGGCAGACAGTTCATTACCAGTGCGCCCAGGGATTCAGGGCCCTACAGACTGGTCCTGCTGAAAGCACCTGCACGTTGATCAACGGGGAGATAAAGTGGACCAGGCCCAGGCTCAAGTGCATAAGTGAAGGGGCGAACGGTCAGGTTCCAGGTACAGAGGTGCCCCCCACCCCAGGGTCCACCGCCTCGTGGCTTCCCTGAGGTGGACCAGGCTGGAATCCCTGATCCACCCGCTAAGTGGTCTAGGGTGAACCACTTCCTTTCCTGGGGCCTCGGGTTGTTCTCTCTCTAGAAAACAGATGAGATAAACTGTAAGGTCTCCATGCCCTGGGGTCCCCCATTTCCTGATGGGGATAAAGAGCAGGATCTGAAAGAGGAAGACAGGCGTCTTCCGGAGGGGTCCCCCCGCCCCCACATGGTGCTGCTCCCATTTCTAGCTGATCCTGAAATTCCCCGTCTGCCTCTAAGCTACCAAGACTTCCTCATTCAAAAGGGAAAGTCCACCTGCCCTGCATACATTTCCAACTTGCTGTTACATAATGTAAATCCGTTCTCCTGCTATACCAGGAGAAAGCCACCCTCCCCTCTTGTGTGAGTTCCACTTGAGCTTTGCCAAAGTGCAGACATGCAGGGCAGGGACTTTTCAGGTACAGACACACATGCACACACACGTATGCTCATTCACATTCACGGACAACCCACCTACGTTGAGGTCTTCTGCTATTTTCGTCCTGAAATCATATTACCATATCTACAATCAAAAGTCCCCTCATTGGGCCCTAACTTCCAGTGGTTTCTTTGCTTGCCCCCATTGCCCAGGCGCCCCACCCCTCTCTTGGATCTTTTGTGGGGGGAGTGCTGAGTTTCTTTCCCATAGCCTGCACCCTGAGAGTCACGCTGCCCACTGGGCGTGTCCGAGCAATGGCGAACCTGTCACAGAGAAAAGCTCTTCTTTTGTGCATATCTACTTTAATAGGCTTCCCAGGTGATGCTAGTGGTAAAGAACTCACCTGCCAATGCAGGAGACTTAAGAGGTTTGATCCCTGCATTGGGAAGATCCCCTGGAGAAGGAAATGGCAACCCGCTCCAGGATTCTTGTCTGGAGAATCCCATGGACAGAGGAGCCTGATGGGCTGCAGTCCATAGGGTCGCAAAGAGTCGGAAATGACTGAAGCGACTTAGCACGCACACACTTTGCTTAATGTTTTGATGGAATTTGTATTATGATGACCCAATTCCAATCTGCAAATGGAAACCAGAGCTGGGTAGGAAGCTTGGGGAGAAAGCTGCTCAGAGCTCCAAAGAGAGCCAGAGTCAGGGTCACAGTTCCCTCCTCCCGCTCTTCTGGGGTCACACCGAGCCACTTCACTTGACCCTGATGGGGACCACAGAGCCGAGACACACCTTAGCTACCATGTCTAGGGTCAGCTGAGGAGGTGGAGGGGGTGGGAGGGAGACCCCATACCCCCACTCCCCACCTTCTGCCCCACAAGCATCCTTCTTCTCTCCTCCAGATGACATAGAGCCTTGGGAGAGCACGGAAGCTCCCCCTGGGAGTGGAACTTTCTTAACAACCAGGACGGCAGGGACCACAGGTATGACTGGCATTTCTTGGAAGATAAAAGCTTGGCTATTAAACTGTGAGGCATGAGAGGGAAGAGCTGGCCTGGGAGCTGCCCCCTGGTGCTAGAGATGGGCACACATCCGCACATGACCTCCCAGGCCTCAAACACAACCAGCGTCGCCAGTGTCAGAGGAGAAGCAAGTCAGAGGGCGCCAGCTCAAGGCAGAAGAACAAAACGTTCAGAAGTTGGGCCAGGGCTCCCCTGGCCTCTCACAGGTCTCCAGCCGCCTGGACTCTCGCAGCCCCAGGCAGTCCCACAGCCAGCATCCACAAGCACCTCCCCTTCTCTTTTGCACAGATTTGCAGAAGCCCACAGAAGAGGTTGCAACGTTGGATACGTTCATATTTACCACCGAGTATCAGATCGCAGGTGGGTAGTGACCCAACCATACCGACACATTTGCTTGGTGGGTGGTAAGCTGCACAGTGAGTTAGTCTAAATTAACTCTTTACACTCTACGATGTGCATAAAACTCAAAGACGAATCCAGAGCATAACACGACTCAAAGTCACAGGCACGGCTGTGGTGAGTTAGCAGTGAGGTCTCCAACCAGCCTCAACCAGGGCCTCCCGGCCAGCTCCCAGAGCACAAACACCCAGCACCTGGATGTGTGTGGGGGGAGGTGGCGTGAACAGTGGGGGAGAGAAAAAAACATGCCAAGACCACTCCAGGTGCCTTCTGGAGGGAGGCAAAAACAGGCTCTGAGCGGGAAAAAAAAAACCAAAAACACCAAAACGGAGCTCGTAGAGTAGACTGCTGGTGACCAGGGCCTGGGGGTGAGGCAAAGAGAAGACGAGTGTCAAAGGGCACGGACTTCGTCAGCAGAGGAGTCGGTCTGGGGATGGTCAGGGTGTGGGGATTACAGCCAACGGATGCTGTGTTGCGGACTTGAAAGTTGCTAAGAGTAACTCTTCAATGTTCTTGGCACAAAAAAGAAATAGTAATTACAAAATATTTTGCAATAAGTAAGTGTACACCTTAAAATTACACAAGGTTACAGGTCAATTATATCTTACGGGGCAGATGGAGGGAGAAAAACAGGCTTTGAGGCACGTCTAAGAAAGACAGATGGACAGCTGGATGGATAACCGCCAGCTCCAGGGAAAGAATATATGGGAAACAGGGACACTTTCAGGAGATGCTAGCTGTTTATCATTTACCTTTATACTCATCTTGATATTTCAACATTTCATTTACCCCTTGTGGGCCTCACTCAAGATCTGTTTAACTGAGGCTGGGCCTCTGACCCTCTCTGAAGAGGGTGCCTGTCAGCTGCTCCCCGAGAAGGAGGGGAGCCCCCTGGGAAAGGCTGGGGCCCTTCCCGACCATACCCCCAGGCCCAGGTCTTGGAGCCTCCAAGGAAGCCTGGCCGGGAGGGGGCTGCATTCTGAACAGGGGTGGCAGAGACTGCCCGGCTCACCTCCCCGGAAGCACTGAGCTGGGTGTGGAGGCCTAGAGGGACCGATACTCGGGAGGGGACTCTCTCAGCCCCGGGGACGCCTCCCTGACCGACAGTCGGGAGGGGGCTCCCTCAGCCCCGGGGACGCCTCCCTGACCTGCTTCTCTGTCCACAGTGGCCGGCTGCATCCTCCTGTTCGCCAGTGTCCTCCTCCTGAGCTGCCTCACCTGGCGGCGGAGATGGTGAGTAGCTGTGAGCAAAGAACTGCCCGGCACTGTGTGAGTCCCGCGGATACCCAGAACTGCAGTCTCCGGGAGACGGGAGCAGACACCACAGACTGACCCGGAGAGCTGTTCCAAGCGTTAGTCGCTCAGTTGCGGTCCACTCTTTGCGACCCCGTGGACTGTAGCCCGCCAGGCTCCTCTGTCCATGGGATTCTCCAGGCAAGAACACTGGAGCGGGTTGCCAATCCCTACTTCAGGAGATCTTTCTGACCCAGGAATCAAACCCAGGTCTCCTGCACTTCAGTCAGATTCTTTACCGACTGAACCACCAAAATCCTTCCTAAAATCCAATGTCATCTGAGAGCGCCCTCTTGTGGCCAAAGGAAATATTACTTTCTTTCTTTTTTTTTTTTTTTTTAGCAATTTTGAGAAGGAAATGGCAACCCACTCCAGTGTTCTTGCCTGGAGAACCCCAGGGACAGAGGAGCCTAGAGGGCTGCCGTCTGTGGGGTCGCACAGAGTCGGACATGACTGAAAAAACTTAGCAGCAGCAGCAGCAGCAGTATTCAGAAAAATAAGATCATGGCAGCCGGTCCCATCACTTCATGGCAAATAGATGGGGAAACAATGCAAACAGTGACAGACTGTTTTTTGGGGGCTGCAAAATCACTGTGATGGTGACTGCAGCCATGAAATTAAAAAACGCTTCTCCTTGGAAGGAAAGCTATGACCAACCTAGACAGCATATTAAAAAGCAGAGACATTACTTTGCCAACAAAGGTTCATCTAGTCAAGGCTATGGTTTTTCCAGTGCTCATGTATGGATGTGAGAGTTGGACTGTAAAGAAAGCTGAGTGGCAAAGAATTGATGCTTTTGAACTGTGGTGTTGGAGAAGACTCTTCAGAGTCCCTTGGACTGCAAAGAGATCCAACCAGTCCATTCTAAAGGAGATCAGTCCTGAATATTCATTGAAAGGACTGATGCTGAAGCTGAAACTCAACTACCTTGACCACCTGATGCAAAGAACTGACTCTGATGCTGGGAAAGATTGAAGGTGGGAGGAAAAGGGGACAACAGAGGATGAGATGGTTGGATGGCATCACCAAGGCAATAGACATGAGTTTGAGTAGGCTCTGGGAGTTGGTGATAGACAGGGAAGGCTGGTGTGCTGCAGTCCATGGGGTCACAAAGAGTCAGACATGACTGAGCAACTGAACTGAGCTAAGAGCTGGTGATGAGAGGGAGCTGGCTTACAAAGCCTCCTGAAAGCCAAAAATTAGGTGCTCTGGAGTTTTGCGATCTGCTTTTAAGTTTAGCCATTATTAAAAACTAGAGTATATAAGCTTACAATTAAATAAGTTAAATAGTACAAAGTCAATAAATATTAAAAATTAATCACTTTCTAATTATTTTAGTGCAGTGGACTACTCTATTCTCAGGGTTGTTTGTATCTGTGTACCTGTGTTGAGGAAATACTGCCTAGATGATGATTTTACATTGTACCTCTCTCCCCAGCTCTGTATCCAGGACGTATTGACACTGGGTTTGGTGGGGACTTTTACACCATGGATGTGAGCAGACTGTTTCCAAGAGCTGGTTGTTAAGCATTTGCCTGCACGCCAGTTCCTGCAGCCTCACCCCATGGGAGCTCTTAGCCAGGTAGCAGGTAACCAGATGCTGCTGACAGCTGTTTGACAGGGTTGCCACTAGCCACGTGCGGATACTTCCGCTTAAACTTAAATAAATTAAATATGATTAAAAGTTCAGTCTACACGTGGCAGTAGCCACATTTCAGGTGTTTGATAACCACACGTGGCCACCTTGTTGGACAACACAGATACGAGACACTTCCGTCTTCACAGAAAGTTCTTACAGCACAGTGCTGGCTAGAAGCTAGCAGTTTTCAATTCAGGAAATCCCCTTAGCACAGCTAGCTGAGCTATTATTTTTCCTTTTCTGCAGCTATTGTCTTCCATTTCCAAAAAGTTTTATAGAACAGCTCCTGTGTAGATGTGGGTCAAAAGGCACACACTTGCAGTTAAAAGATGGCCAAGTTCTGGGGAATCTGATGCAGCAGCTTAGGTGACTGCAATCAACAGCAGTGTATCCATACACTTTAGAGTCGCTAAGAGACTAGCTCTTGACCATTCTCACCACCAAAAAAGATATGACAACCACGCGATGTGATGGAAGTGTTAGCTTAACGGCAAGGTGGTCATTACATCACAACACATAAATGTATCAAGTCAACATGCTACACCTTAAACTTGCACAGTGTTCATTGCCAATTATCTCTCAAGTTTAAAAAGATACAGAGACCAACTCCTGTGTACCAGGCATTTGGTAGGGGCCTCAGGATGATTAAGAAGGGCCCCTGCTCTTAGGAGCTTATAGACCAGTCAAGGAGAAAAGAAAATAAAAAAGAGAGAGACTTGAAATGCAATTTGTGAAAGCCTAAGATTGAGGTGCTGCAGAGAATGAGGAGAGAAATGACCCACGTCATCCTACATGGGGTGCCCAACAGGCTTTCAGAGCCGATGCCGGCAGACAGGGGAAGAACAGCAGGAGCAGCTGCAAGGCAGAGGGACAGGAGGAGAAAGGACGCATCCTGAAGGGCAGGAGGCTGTCTGCGAGGGTCTGGCAGTTCTCAGCACTGAGGGGTAAAGCGCACAGGGCGGTGGTCGCAGTGCCCCAGTGTGTGATGGCCGGAGACCACGTCTTGGAAGATCAGGCCAGACGGGGAACCCAGTCCCATCCTGAGGGCAACAGCAGCCACAGAAATGGGCTTATGCAATAAATGGTAGCATCGGCATTTGAATGGTCTGGCCACCAGAAAGGCTGGATTTAGGGTGGTAATAGTGGTGGCAGTTTGATATGTTGTGCTAGAATAAATCCACCCAGGGGACGAGGAGAGCATGGACCAGGTCGGGGGCATCCGCTAAAGCAGAGGAAAAGAATGGAGAGGTACATAAAGGAGTCAGGTTATCAGAGTCTGGTGGCTGATTGGAAATGAGTGTGAAGGAGGAGGGTTGACTCGAGATGATGCAGGTACCCCTTCCCCGGGGACTGTCATCACCACCCACTAGGACAAAATGCAAAGTGAGGATGTGCACCCAGTGAGCACAGCCTATCTTTCAGCCCCTCCCCAAGACCCACCAGCTCCCCCACCTGTAACCGGCCAGGCCTCGGGGGCTCACTTTCAGCCCCACAGGCTGCACAATGACTGGATCACGTCACCATGAGGACCACGAGGCTTCCAGTCTTGACCTCTAGAGGGATGATCAGCAAGTGGGATGGTCAGGGTATCCTAAGGTGGGACTTAAAGTTAGCAGGTCAGTGGGGCTGACCCACGAAAGTGGGATGCTCAATGCACATCAGTTTATTGAGACCATATTGATTTTGGTGCAGCATTCCACCCATGACTATGACTTGTATCACCACAGGAAGAAGAACAGAAGGACAATCTAGAAAACCAAGGCCGGAAGAAGTCAAGAACAGCCCACAGATGTCATGGATCACAATCAAAATCAAAGAAGCTAAACACTCATCCAAGAGGCATCTCCTGATCCGGTGGGCTCTGGAAAGCTCTGAAGTCACATAGCAGAACCCCGGGCCACTGCAACCCCATCGTGAAGCCAGTTCTGTAGTATCAACCCTTGAGGTTGACCTGTGTCTAGGCAGCAAGTCCAAGGTTGCTGGAGGAACGGAGAGGAACAACCAGAACTCTTGGTCCTGTTTTCATGTATATGTGTTCACCAGACCACAAGTAGCATGGAGCTTTCTCCACACCATGTAGAGTATAAAGAAGAGTAGCTTCATCCGATTAGAAATCCCAAGGGAAGCCCTAGCACTGATGTAAATAGACACACATGCTCTCTGGATCCACATAAGTCCTTTCCCAGCCTCTGGTTGACCAGCCCACTCTCCTGCTCATATGCCCCCCAAATGAAGACTTTTGACTTTAGCCCAGTCCTCCAAGCTAACCCCCTCTACTGAATCTTCCAGTTCAAGTTTCTAAAGAACAGATTCCCTGGGGGAGCAGTCTTTAGGTGACCGCAGAAGACAGCAAACAAACCCATGGAACTGTCAAGCTTCAGAGTTTGAAGGGATTTCACTGGAGTTAATGCCAGGAGAAGAGGGAGAAGCTGGGTCCCAAGTAGTGGGTTATCCTTGACATGTAGCTTCAGCTGTTTGTGACTGGCTGTTTTAAGAGCGTTTTCTCTGGGATTGCTATAAATGATGCTCTCGGCTGCCACAAATTTGATGTTTACAGACGGACACACAGTGTGCAAACGTGTACATTTGCAAAGAGGTGTCATAAGAACACTGATAAGGGAGCAGTACATTCAATGTTTATGGGAGGAAAGAAAGAAAGAAGGATGGGGGCAGGGGAGCGCATGTCATTACAGACGAGGTCACATCAGTGACCCTCACACTGTGAGCAAATTAAAATTGCCTGGAGACCTTGGTGAGACCTGGAAGCCTGGGCCCGTCTCCAAAGTTTCTGAGTCAGCAGGTCTGGGGTGGGGCCCGAGAATCCACATGTCTAACAGGTTACAGGTGATGCTGACGATGCTGGTCCGGGGACCACACTTTGAGAACCACAGAGTTTATACCTCTCCACACCAGCCAACCCTCAACCCCCAATGGAAAAGCCAAACTTGGGGGCTGAGATTTCAGTGCAAGTTCAGACTCTTGCCCAAGATATCAATTCTCAACCAGTTGACAGATGTCTTGGCTGAACAAAATCACATGATGAAGGAGATCAATGAAAAATTTAAATCAGCAGCCAGTTTTCATTTCTGAAAGGGCAGGGAAGTATTACCAAAAAATGTGCAGGTGTCAGCAGGTCTATATCTAGGTTAAAAAGTGGTTTTCTGTCCTTTCTGTGACCAACCAAGTACAATCAGATTCCATCATCAGCATTCCCCAACATGTATGTTTTCTGGGAAAGTAAGGTTAAGACCTGGAATTTCAGACCAGAAAAAATATATATGTTTTTAACTTTATTTATCTGACTTGAGTAAAACTGGATTATCATTATTCATTTTTGGGGAGAGAAGTCTGTGAGATCAAAATTTTTTCATAATACAGGTGACCCTTGAAGAGCTTGGGTTTGAACCAGGCAGGTCTGCTTACATGTGGATTTTCATCAACAGTAAATCCTGCAGGGCTATTCAATCCGAGGTTGGTTGAATCTGTAGATGCAGAACCAGGGATATGTAGAAACCATGGGTATGAGGAACCAACTATAACGTGGATTTTTTACTGCACAGAGGGTCATTGCTCCCAACTCCTGGGTTGTTCAAGGGTCAACTGTGAGTAAGATGTGATTTGCCTTTTCCACTCTCACTCCCTTACAAGGGCATGGTGGAGTTTTCCGGAAGCTACATAATGTGTGATGATGTCATTGCTCTGGTATTAACATATAATGAGTTTATTACTATTGTTTATGGAAGAATTAATAAATAATATTTTTAAAATTTCTTGGTTTTAGCATCTAAGTATGGTAAGTATCACTAGATGTAACTGTATAAACAAAAAGTTTTGGGAACCCTCAATACTTTTAATAACATACAGAGGTCCTAACAGACCGTTAACAAACACATTATCACTGGTCATTTCAGCAAGGCAAATCAGGTATATATGTGTACACACACATGCACATGTACACACCTGTGTGCAATGGGATATTACTCAGCCATAAAAATAATTAAATAATGCCATTTTCAGCAACATGGGTAGACCTAGAGATGATCATACTAAGTGAAGTAAGTCACACTGAGAGAGAAAAATATTGTACAATATTACTCATACATGTAGTCTAAAAAGATACAAGTGATCTTATTAACAAAACATATGTTTTGACATATTGTTTTCTATGATAGACATAGAAAACAAACGTATGGTTACCAAAGGGGAAGTGGGGAGGGATAAATTAGGAGTTTGGGATTAACATATAAATACTACTATATAGAAAAATAGATAATTAACAAGGACCTACTGTATGGCTCAGAGAACTCTACTCAAAAATCTTATAATAACCTATAAAGGAAGAGAATGTAAAAAAATAACATTTATATATACTTGAAAATAATAGAACATTGTAAATCAACTATATTTCAATAAACATTTTTAAAACAGAAATGCAAATCGAAACCAGAGTGAGATGGTTATACCCAATAAGATGACTTTAAGGAGAAAAGAAAAGAAATAACAAATGTTGACAAGAATATGGAGAAATAGGAACCCTCATACATTGCTGGTGCGAATGTAAAATGGTGCAGCCACGGTGGTAGTAGTTTCTGAAAAAGTTAAACATGGAATGACCACATGGCTTAGCAATTCCACTCCTGGCTATATTACCCAGGGGTGAAGAAAACCCTTGTCCACACAGAAACTGGTATACGACTATTTATAACAGCGTCACAGCCAAACAGTCAAGAGATGGAAGCAACCGGAATGCCCACCAGTGGATGAGCGGGTAAGCAAGCTGTGGTCTCTCCACACACTGCAATACGACCCAGTCACAGACAGGAACGAGGCCTTCAAAATGGCTGCCATGTAGATGAGCCTAAAGAACATGACGCTAAGTGAAGGAGGCCAGACATAAAATGTCACATACTGTATGATTCCTTTCATATAAAATGTCCAAAAGAGGCAGGTCCAAAGAGACTGAGGCAAACTAGTGCTTACCAGGGCTGGCAAGAGTGATTACCTAACGGGGATGGGGTGGTAAGTCTTCCCAGGTGACGCAGTGGTAAAGAACCCGCCTGCCAATGCAGAACTATAAGAGACTGTAGGGAAGTTCCCCTGGAGAAGGGAATGGCTACCCACTCCAGTATTCTTGCCGGAGAATTTCCATGGACAGAGGAGTCTGGTGGGCTACATACAGCACACAGACATGACTGAGTGACTAAACAACATCAAAACAGCCCAAAGACCAGCAAGTCTCAGACCCTATGTAAGAAAAAATTTGAAGGGAGACCCAGAGAAAACCCAGGGAAAACCAGGGGGGAAAAACTACACCACAGGCAGTTTCACCCTCTGACACCCCAGGTACTGTAAGCATTAAACAGCCTAATTCCTACACCGACATTCAAAGCCTAACACAAAGGCCTGCTTATCTCAGCTCCTGTTACCTGAGATATCATATCCAGCTCTCAACAAAAAAAGTACAAGCATGCTAGGGAATTCCCGGGTGGTTCAGTAGTTAAGACTCAATGTTTTCACTGCCAAGGACCCCGGTTCGATCCCTGGTCAGGGAATTAAGATCCCGCAAGCCAAGCGGTGGGGCAAAAAAATAAATAAAAACTACAAGGCAAGCTAAAAGGCAGCAAATACAGTGTGAAGAGACAGAGCCAGCATCAGAACAAAATACTGACATGGCAAAGATGCTGGAATTACCAGGTCGGGCAGAGATGCTGGAATTACCAGGTTGGGAATTTAAAACACCTGTGGAAAATAAGTCGTTCTAACAGAGATTGCTGTGTGACTCCCTAAATCCATCCTTCCCTTAGCCCCGGGTTTTAGTGGGACACGGTCCTCCCCCAGCTGAGAATTACATTTGCCGGCCTCCCTTGCAGTTCAGTGGGTCCCATGACTAAGTTCTGCCCCAGGAGACGTGAGTGTAGTAAAGCAAGCAGCCTCTAGGATGTGCCCTTGAAGACAATGGATGTGTCCTGACCCTCCTTCACCTTCTCCACTGGCGGAGTGGAGGTAGCCTTGGTGGTGGGAGTCCCACCAGGAGTGGGATCAAAGCTGAAATGAAACCGAAGGAGCCAGGATGTCTGACATGGCGGGGCCATGCTGGGACTGCTTATACTTGTGCTGGACGTGAGACAGAAATACCCTCCCCTGGGGGCAGATTGGGAGTTTGGAAGGGACATGTTCACACTGCTGTATATAAAATCGATCACCAACAAGGACCTACTACATAGCATAGGGAACTCTACACAGTACTCTGTAACAACCTAAATGGGAAAAGAGTTTGAAAAAGAATAGATACATGTATATGTATAACTGAATTACTTTCTGTACACCTGAAACGCATGCAACAGTTAATCAATTATGCTCAAATATAAAACAAAATTTTTTAAAAATAAAAATAAAGTGCAGATGTAACATTTATAACAGTTTCTCTTGCATCTCCTGCATTGGCAGGCAGATTCTTTACCACTGAGCCACCTGGGAATTCCTCATAACAGTTATAACTACCAAAAAGAAAGAAAGGGATACTCTCCCTTTTAGGACCCTACGACTTCTGCCCTTGTTAGAACAGCTATATCAACACCCCCATAACATCCACCCCTACCAGTATCAGAGACAGACATGCCTCTCCCCCAAATTTGGCTTATATGGTCGTCTTATCAGTATCCAAATATTTTCAGTGGAAAATGAGACAAGAATGAGCATGCAATATTTAAACAGACTTTCAAGTAAGTACATGTTTGCTGTTCATAAATATGTAAAAAATTTCTCCCTCCAGGAGGTAAACAAGTACATCCAAGGAAACAGCATTGAGACTCTGTACTAATTTGACTACTTCCTTACTCATCTTCAGAGAATGACTGTAGTTAGTCTGAAGTGTCCCTGAAGGCTTTCCAAAAATGTGGGCTCACATGGGAATATTCCAGGCAGATGGTCCTTTCTGGCTAAGCTAGGAATCAGAAAGAGGGAGGGCTGAGATTTGCAGAGCCGATCCCCTTGTTACTCCATTCCTCCTGTGAAAGTGCAGCGCAAAATGTACATCCTTTTCTTTCTACAATAAGTTATCCTACTTACATGAGTTATCGTAATGCTATGAGGGTAGGATAACAGAGTATTCCATCTGGAAAAAAAATAGGCTAAGAACTACCTTCAAGCAGTCAGGCAAGATGGATGGCTACTAATTTCCATTAGTAGAGTCGGAAGAGAGAATCTGGCTTAAGTCCTTTAGATTACCTTGAAAGAATAGACCCCAATATGAGAAGCTATAAACTATCTGAAATCTTCAGTGGAGTAGATGCTTCACAGCTACGTGATTAACTGAGAAAGTAAACACCAGTGATCAGCAAGGGAGTAAAAGACGCAGCCGCAGATAGGTGATGACTTCCTGTCCTTGCACGCCTGGGTCTCTACTGTCAGGGGCTGTGTCTTTGCAACTTCCCACTTGCTCCTGCCTTGGCTGTGGGCTAAGTGGCCATCGGGAAGTCCAAAGAAGAGTTTGGGAGGCTGATGAAGAAAGAGAAGCCATAATCCTTCCTTTCAGCTTCTCATGGCCTTTCCATCAGCGTGGCCAGCCATCAGTACAGATGGCTGTGGGCTCCAGGAGCCTTTGGCAGCCCCGGTACAGACAGCAGTGGTTGACTGCCATTACAGGCTCCAAAATGGTTTTGCAGTTACAGCAGCACTTATTTCAACAGCAGCAACAGTTTCCTTCAGAAGCAGCCAGAAGTCTGCTCATGTAACCCCACCTCTTCCCTGTGTTCCTCCAGGCTTTGCTTCCTGATTGCTTCCCTGGAGTGGCTCAGACCTTAAAGAATCTGCCTGCAATGCAGGAGACCTGGGTTCAGTCCCTGGGTCAGGAAGATCCCCTGGAGAAGGGAATGGCAACCCATTCCAGTATCCTTGCCTGGAGAATTCCATGAAAGAGGAGCCTGGTGGGCTACATACAGTCCATGGGGTTGCAAAGAGTCGGACATGACAGACTAAGTGACTAATACTTTGCTTCCTGAAATAAAACTTCTCCCATTTTGCTCCTATAGTTTATTTAATGCAACCAGATTCTTACATTAATAAACTCTGCTTAGGCTTCATTTCAGGCC